AGTATGCTAAGAAGGTTTATGAAAAGCTACCCCAAAGAAACATAAATCAAATCCTACTCATTTCATTACATTGTGTAAGGAGAAATGTATTTCAAATCTCAGCAAACCTTCTATAAAACAGAAATATAACACTGAACAGCCTAGACTCAGGAGCCAGACTCCTTGGGTTTGAATCCCAGCTTTGCCCATCCTAGCCTGGGTGGCCTTGGAAAAGTCCACTACAGCCACTTTCTTCAACTGTCACCCGGAGTTGCTAACGGTGACACTTGTCTCACCTCAGAAGGCTGCTGCAAGCACCTCATGAGTTGATGTTCTCATGTCTAGAACAGAACCAGGCACATGGCGAGTGCTCAAAATACGTGGGCTGTTTTATTTCCTTTACATGTGAAGAAATAGTTCCGTAGTTCGGCTACTTGCTCGGGGTGTCCTGTTGTCAATGGCAGAGTTGGTGCCGACGCCCAGGTCTCCTGATTCTCAGTCCAGTGCTGGGCGCTGCAGTGACACCCAGAGCAGGACAGCACAGGAAACTAGAATTTTCCCTGTATTCGTCCTTACTCCAAATAAACTGAAAATGCTATTTCTGTGCACTGTCCACTATCAAGCAAGTTTATCTTTCCCAGGGCTCCCACTTGTTCCGCTGCCTGGCCAGCTGTCACAGCCTCGTGCTGTCATCCCCCTAGCACAGTAGTTCCCAGAATTGTTTAGAATCCAAAAATGTTAACAAATTCTATCAGGTCTGCAATCTTATATTTCTGAAATTCAAAAACTCTCAAATCTAAAAGCTTTTTCATAACCCTTTTGACTGCAAAACCTGTTCAGATCTGAACTTACTCAGTGACAAAACACCTAAACTGACATGAGGCCATTTATTGTTAGTATTTGTCCCTCAAAGTGTGAAGGACGCCACCCAAGGTCCCAGGGCAGTGGGATACGTATCAGTCAGAAAGAGATGCAGCACTTGGCCCAGGTGAATGAAGAAAGTTTATTAAAGGGACTGTGTAAAGGTGTGAATGCAGGGAAGGAACCAACGGGCAAGGGTGCAGGAGGGCAGAAGGAGATTACCTGATGCACCGGGAGCTGCTACCGCCCCTGGATCAGGAGGGCCAGGTATGGATGGTAGTTACCTGAATGCGGAGAGAGCAGCACAGCAGAGGTTGCAGCCAGGAGCCATATAGAGGATCCAACCTGCAGCAAAACAGCAAAGGAGCCTGGGAAGCCAATCCCAACCTTGCTTGTCACCCTCCTGCTAGATCTACTGGGGCCTCTCTTTGGTCGCAGCCTGCCTGAAGCCAGAGGCAAGGGAGCTCATAGATGCAGACCATAAGGCAATCACCTAGGGCACCAAAGAGGGTAGTGAGGGTGGCAAGCGGATCTGGAGGGCTAACAGAAATACCTGGCACAGCATATTCTATCATATCCAATATATGTACTCTACTGTCTTTCTGAAACCTGAAAACTCAAGAATGCTTAAAACAGTTGTATTTTATTAAGTCAACAACATAAAGATATATTTGAAAAATATCAATACATATATGTAAAACATGTTTTTGGTTTGCAGTCTTAGTGCCATATAGATTTATGAGCCATTTATAATTCCTTGGCTACCCTGAAAGGTTGGAACTATTGCACTAAAGAATGCTGTCTTGTTCATTGTTCCGCTCGTTGAATCATATGTTTATTCTTTCAAAGAATATTCCTTGTTGGATGCCTACTCTGCGACACACTATGCGTTCTGGGGTTTCAGGACAAAAATGTGACACTAGCTTTCCACTAGCTTCCAAATTAGTAAAAGACACTAATTTGTTGGAAAATAGTAACACAATCTTAGGTTAGCAAGTAATTTTCACCTCAAAGCTATCTTGCTGCTTGAGGTTCTGTTTTGAAAAGGGTTTCATGGCCACATCTGGACTCAGAGGGAAAAACTGCTGTGATCGATTAGCAACATCTGAGGTGGGCACAGGAGCAGAGAATGCAGACAGTGCCCAGTTTGGGGTGACTGTGCTTTAATTACACGGCAGAACGAAATTATTCCTATACTGCGAGTGAGAGCAATTTCCACAGGAGGGTGGAAGAAGGAATTATTTTGAATTAGGAACACCTCCAAGGCTTTAGGGGGGTAGACCGAGGGTTTTTCAGGATTTCCAGACAAGCAAATGATAGGTAGGAGCAAAGGCAAAGTAAACACATGGCAGGCCGGTGCAAATGGGCCACAGGGTCTTGGGAGTGACTGAGTATTAGGTGATCAAAATAGATCAACGAGAGGCCATGCTAAGGAGTCTGGACTTTATTTTTTAGCAAGTGAGTTACAATCGAGGGCTTTTGAGAAGAGGACTTCCTGTGTTTTAGGAAAATCACTCTACAGGCATTATGAGAGGGGGGTGGGGCTTAAGAGGAAGCTGATGGAAAACTATCTTTGTGAAGGAACTACTGCCCGTCACCTAGGCAAGAGATGGAGACGAAGTGAGGACAAAGACATCAGCTGTGGGAATAGAA